AATTGAGCTTTGGGGCACCTTTAAGCTAAAGGATAGGTCAGAAAGGCTGCCAGTGAAGGGATACCTCAAAACTAAAACCTGGTGCCATAAGACAGCGTAAATGACACACTGTAACAATAATAAACATGAATAAGATCTTTCTGAAAAGTTCAAGTTACTGTTGCATTTACAGAACTCAAGATATGTGAAGTTAAGCTGGCTCATAAACGAAAACGTCAGAGCTCAGGTTGCACCCAAGATGAGGACATATCTATGCATCTCCGTGTGTATACATTCAAGAGATAGTAAGTTCAGTAGGTCCACTCTGAGAAATGGAAGAGACATATAGCATTTCAGCCCACAGCTGATATCCAGATTGTTTTGGTTGGCTATGGAATCTTTCTCCAGTGTATGATATGCAAACCTGGGAGGGCGTGAATGAGACTGGTTCTGAAGGAAAGAACAGATATATCTCTGCAGGTCAAGGGCTTTCACTGAGGAGAGAGGAGTTGGTGCTCACTCAGGAACCCATCTGAGGGCAGCTTGTGTGGCTTATACTGCTACTGCAGGCTACAATATATGCAAGTTGTCCTCAGAGTAGCAAGTCATTGCATGGAGGGCACTGCCATCACCATGAGCACTATCGCTCGGAAGAAGAGATCATGCCTGGTGCTGTATTTGAAGAGTGGCAACCTGGCTATGAACTCAGATTTAACATAGGACCTGGAGAAGGGAGGGATTTCCAGCCTCCTCTTTTCCCACTAGGTAACCTGGCCAGCTCATTCCTCAAAAATGCCAGCTCACATAAATCATACCTACAGATACTGAACTAGGACCACAAGGATGTCATGCAGTGGCTGATACTGAGGACATGGGACTAAATGTCAGTGGACTCTGGGCTTCCCCAGACACAGCTCAGTCTGCTTTCTAGTGTGCCTGTCTTGGAATCTATGAACTCCTCAAAACAGGTCAGAAAAGAAGAACACTGTATGTTCCCCTGCTGAATCTAGTGCAAAGAGCTTCCGCTGCCATCATGATTCTCTGTGCACAGTGGCATGCACAGGCTGAATTATCACCATGTGAGTTTCTTCTTGAATTTGACACATTTATTTTGATAAGGAAGAGCGAGACCAATATGACTCCTATCAGTGTCAGTGCGAACTGAAAAGATTTTCTCAGCTGTCAGTATTGTTTACCATATGATTATAGAGCCTTTAGTCAGAAATACCCCTTTGATGATTTGTGTTAGCATTGTGCTTTGTACCCATAAGCTGACACACCACTGCACTGCTGTCAGAATAAAAATCTTAGTTTGTTCTACCCACAATTACTTTTCACTGGAAAATGTTGTCATATAATACATAGCTTCTTCAGGGGCTAAACTCCATCATAGTTACTTTGGACCCTTACACTGTATTGACACTCCTGAAGCTACTCATGCAGTGAAATCCTACCATGCTTATTGCCCACTGGGGTCACTCACAAAAGAGTTGGAATAATGAGTATCTGTTTTAAAAATGCCAGATGCTGGTGGAGGTCCTGGGAATAATAGCATGATAAAAGAGGAGCAAAGATGGTATTTTAAAGGAGGTCTTCCCCCTCTTTTGTTATCACTAGTAACCTGGAGAAGTCTCAGGAAAAACCCAAAGTGGGGTGTGGGAAGAAAATGTTCAGACTTCAAGCATTTGTGACAACTAGAGCCCCTGAAATGCTGAGGGCCCCATTTGTGACTGTCAGGACTCATACTTAACCTATACCTATTAATCACACAACCAGGCAATCCATGCATTTAGTGGAATGATTCTTCTATAACCACCTCATGCTGTGAACTCATTTTTAAAGAAACTATTTGTATCTGCAAATGTGGCACTAGCTCGGGTTAAAGAAGACAAAATGTAGTCATATAATGTCACAAACTGCAAATATGACATTGTATTTAATAGGGCAAAAGAAAGTCCTCTGCTTGCTGCTGGATCAATGCTGCTTGGATTCACACAATGCAGCCACCCTTCTGCTTCCTTGTAAGACTGGGATCCCAGATATCCTTACTCAAAATCAAGACCGTGAGAGTTACAGTGGCTAACTTAAACTAGTAATCACATCAGTGTCTGAGAAGAACTGCTGCACTGACTCTTACCTTGTCAGGAACCACCAAATTTCTCCAGAACAAGGATAAATCATGATTTAGCATTTTATTCTTGCCCAGAAGCCAAGGCAGCAAGTTTCTGAGCGGATACAATAACATGTTAATCAGTTCAAGTAGAAGGGTATGAATGCATTTACAAAGGTAGGCAGGTCAGGTCTTGCCAACCTGGGAGCCCAGGAGAGATAAAAGGCAGGGCTCTTCCTTTTTCCTCAGAGAAGTAGTGAATCAACTGCACCACTCATCTTAGTGTCACCCGCAAACTTCCTGAAGGTGCCCTCAATCCCACTGTCTATATTGTTAATGAAGATATTAGATAATATTGGTCCCAGTACAGACCCCCAAGGGATACCAGTTGTTACTGGCTTCCACCTGGACATCGAGACATCAACTATTACTCTTCCGATGTGGCTGTCCAGCCAATTCCTTATCCAGCAGTCCATCTGCCAAACCAATATTTCTCTGATTTAACTGCAGTAATATTATGGGGGACCATATAAAAGGTCTTTCATAAGTCCAGGTAGGTGACATGCATAGCTCTTCCCTTGCCCATTGATGAATCCACTCCATTGTAGAAGGCCACTAGATTAGTCAGGCATGATTTGCCCTGGTGAAACCCATGTTGGCTGTCTCTAATCACCTTCCCTCTCTTTTGACAAATCTTTCAGGAGGATCTGTTCCATGACCTTACTAGACACTAGACTGGGTCTGTAGTTCCCAGGGTCTTCCTTTTTACCCTTTTGAAACATGGGTGTGATGTTTCTTATTCTCCAGTCGATGGGGACTTTGCCTGACTGCCAATTGCCTCAGTACCCTGGGATGCATCATGTCAGGCGCCATGAACTTGTCTGTTCAGGTTCTGCAGGTGGTCACTCACCTGAACTTTATTCTTAATAGGAGAGATTTCATTCCCCGAGTCTCTGCTTTGAGGTTCAGGGGTTTGACAAATGTGGGAAGAGAGATGAAAACTGAGGCAAGAAAACCATTGAAAACTGATGAAAAAACATGTGGAGTAGCTCAGCCTTCTCCATGTTGGTTGTCACCAGCATTCCTGTTTTATTGACCAGAAGCATAAGTTTTCTTTTATCTTAATTTTTTGGCCAATGTACCTGTGGAAGCCCTCCTTATTATTCTGCACATCCCTTGCCAAATCCAGCTCCAGCTGTGCCTCAGGTTCTCCAACCCCATCTCTACCTATCCGGGCAGCATCCCTATATTCTTCCCAGGACACATATCCCTGGTTCCATTGCCTGTGGAGCCTCCTCATCCTCAGCTGGAGGAGCCCAGCCCAGGCCTTCTGGTGATGAGTGCTGGAAGGAGCATGGCCCAGGCATTCAGGCAGGAGCAGACTGAAAGCTGAGGTGGTGGTGACTGCAATGGGAAAGGTCCATGGAAGTTTAGATTGGATATAAGGAGGAAATTCTTTCCTGTTAGGGTGGTGAGGCACTGGAATGGGTTGTCTAGGGAGGTTGTGAATGCTCCATCCCTGGCAGTGTTCAAGGCCAGGTTGGAGGAGGCCTTGGGTGATATGGTTTAGTGTGAAGTGTCCCTGCCCATGGCAGGGGGGTTGGAACTTGATGATCTTAAGGTCCTTTCCAACCCTAACTGTTCTATGATTCTATGTGCTCCTCTGTTACTGGGCATCTGCAGGCCCCATCTCTGGCAGTGTTCAAGGCCAGGTTTGGATGCGGCTTTGAGCAACCTAGACAAGTGGACTGTGTCCCTGCCCATGGCAGGGGGTTGGAACTGGATGATCTTTAAGGTCCCTTCCAATCCCAACCATGGTGGTAGGGGAAGGTGGTAGGGGAGGGTGAAGCTGCAGTGCCTGTGCCTCTGCAACTCAGAGGGGAAAGGCAGTTTCCAGAAAAGCCTCACAAAATTTATTTCACTGTCTCTGCTAAGGTTGGCCCTGAATATAGATTTTGATGAAGAGAAGAGGCTGCTGCAAGGTAGTCTCTGGAAGCGGAAAGGTTTGGCAAGCTTCTTGGGCTCTCCAAAATAATGCGTTAACTTTTTTATTGATTCAAGAAAGATTTGAGGAAGTTAAATGCATTCCCAGACCAAATTGAATCTATATTTCTTCGCAGATAACATGAGTCAGAGCATCTGAATTTGTATTGCCCAATATAGTAACCGTGCTCCATCAGAAGATGGATGCTGGAGTAGAACAGTGCACTTTCCAAAGTTCCGTTTTAATTACTCGCTCAGAAAAATGATCAAAAAGAAAGACTCTTTCCCGTATATCTGCTACAGCAGATGGATGAAGAAGAGGCAGTGAGACTTGTGTGACAGCCTGCTGAGCCCTCAGCAACACAGAACAGCCCCAGGTGGTAAGGACAGCTGTGGAACTTTGACATTTTAACCTAACACTCTGGAGGGAAGGGATGCCATCCATAGGGACGTGGACAGGCTTCAGAGATGGGCCAGTCACCACATGAAGTTCAACAAGGAACTTTGAGCAACCAGGTCTAGTGGAAGGTGTCCCTCCTGCCCATGGCAGGAGGGGGTGGAACCAGATGATGTTTAAGGTTCCTTCCAAGCCAAACCAATCTATGATCCTGTGATTCTATGCTCCACATGCATTAAGTCGCGCTTTCAAGCCCCCTCCAGCACACAGTTTGAAGGGTGCTTAAGCTGGCAGCCGAGCCCCCCTGCCGCGCACCTGGGCTGTCTGTCCCATCCACAGCTGCTCTCCCCTCCACCTCCCGAGGGGAGCGCTCTTTGTTCCCGCCTGGGGAAAGCGCCAGTCCTGCTCCCTGTAACCTCTCTGTTCCGAGGACGAGAGGGATAAAGCGGTGGCGGGGTCCGGGCTGTGCAGGGTAGGGAGCGCCAGGGCCCGGGTACCCGCTGCCGCCCTTGAGGAGCCGCCGCCGCCGCCGCCGCCAGGGGGCGCGGCGCTCTCTCGGATGGGGGAGCCGGGGCGGGGTGGTGGCGAGGGGACGCGTCGCGGGCGCGTCGCTCATTGGCTGGCGCGGGCCAGGCTGATCGCGGGGCGCCGGTTCTTAACGCTCGGTGCGGGGCGGCGGGAGCGCTTTGCCGGTTGGGCTGCTGCGAGCCGGGTGCTGCTGCCACCGCCGCCGCCGCTGCTGCGCGACATGAGCGAGGTGAGCCCCGCGGGCGGGACCGGGGGTGCGGGTGAGGAGCGCTCGGCAGTGAACGGAACCTTCCCTTTGGGAGAGCGGCTGCCCTGGCCGGGAGCCCCTCAGCATCTGCTGTGCCTCAGAGGGGTCCCGGGCTGGGTGGGGAGTCTGAAACGTGTAGCTTCTATTAAACCCTGCCTTGTGATAAACATCCCTCCACAGGTGTGCATGCTCCTTCAGAGCGTAAAGCAAGGGGTGTTTTGCCTTTCGAAGGACCATATGCACCGGTGCAGAATAATTAAAACCCCCTGCCAATTAACAATCTAAAGATGCATTTAATGCTTTCCTGCGCAGGAAGAAGGATTTAGTAAGTTGTGCTAAAGTCGTCTGCTAGAGCTCATGGAAAAAAATGCCCTGTTTGTAGTTGGATGCTGATGCAAACTTTATAAATAGTGTCCTGGGAAGGATTACAATTAAGGAAAAAATGTAAATAGTGCTAGCCATGTAAGGATCACTCATACTCTTATAAAGGAATAAGCTGAGAACTTTCACTTGTGCTCTGTGGGTTGTTTCTTTTTTCTTTTTTTTTTTCCTGTGGAAAAGTTATCTGGGGCACAGCAGAATTCTTGTGAACAGTATTGTCATGCATGATGACTACCTGACAGCACAGTCAATCAGCTGCCAGGCAGGTTCAGCTGGTAGATCTCACAATCTCTGTTCAGCTCTTCCATTTAGAATCAGTAGAGATGCCTGTAACTGTGCCTTACCCAGCACCTGTTATTCAGAGGCTATTTCTTCCTATAAAAGGCCTGCTGCTTCATTAATAAATGGATATCCCTTTCCTAGCAGCAAGAGTAAAATTAAGAGCAACACCAAAGAAGTTCTGACTAGTTGTTGTGCAGGTGTTAAGATCAGCTGTATTTTTAGATGGGGTGTAAGCCTGGACAAAAAGCAGTGTAGCACCATGGTCTCTGGTACAGGGATTTATGAGGACAAGCTTGCATCTTGGCTTGCAGGTCAGGCCAGATGGGGAGAGCAGAGGAAATCATCATTGTGGGTTTTTTGGTGCTTGAGGCTGTCTAGGTGTAGTGCATCAGGCAGTCCATGACCTCTCCTTGGCTGCTGCCTGTATTTATATTGACTGGATAGAACTCATGCATTGTGGGGTTGTTTTTTGCAGCCTCTGCCCCCTTGGCCCCTAGGCTAGCTGAAGTATTGTGTGAGATGAAATACTGCTGTTCTACTTCATAAGATAGCATTCAGGGAAAAAATCTTCTAGTGAGGAGTAGTGAATAGGTGATATTGCTGTACTTAGGATAACTGTGCAAAACACTTTTTTGTTGCAGCCTTGTACTGGATTGGATTTACTCACCGATTACTCTTTAATGGTTTGAATTGGGTTGCTTGCCTTTTGGATTTTATAAGTCTCAATGAACATCAAGGTCATCCCTAATACCAGCATAGGGGTTCTCTATTTGCGATATGTTTCCCTTTGCCTCAGAGCACTATACCTAGCAAACCCTCGGAGCTGGAAAATGTCTCTTTCTCTGGCATAGCACTAAGCCCTGTATGTATGACACTTAGCACTGCTCTCGGTGTCTTCAGTGCTGCTGTCATTCAACTGATGATATCGGAGAGTGTATCTCTCACAGCTCAGATGAAGAAAAGCTTCCTTGCTGTTACTTCGCCTGTCAGTGATGCTCAAAAGACTGTTCTTTTTCCAAAAGGTAGATGAAAGCAAGTGGACCACCCCAAGCCACCTCACTGTAAAAGACTGTTAAAAAAGCAGGAAAAAAAGATTAGCAGAATGCAAGCTCCTGAAATATCTGTTTGTAGTATTTGGATGGGGATCTTGGTGTATTTCACATGGAATGCTGTAACTGAAAAATATTGCTTTTCTTTGTTTTATTCTGCTTGAAAATATGAGGGCAGAGTGATTGACAAGAGGCTCAACTACAGCCATTAAAAGATTATCCCAATAGGATGGTGTTGGGAGGGTGAGAACGTTTTTTCCTTTATGTTAACGCTTGTCAGGATTTGAGTGGAGCTTGAAATGTTGTTGCAGAAATCTCTGAAGAGAGCTTTCATGTCCCTCAAGTTATTTGCTGAGACTTTGCATGGATTCTTAGTTTGCTGCTCCAAGCAAAATTAACTTATTTCCTGTTTATGGGCAGTGATTACCAGTCTGGTGATGGAGAAAGCTGAAAAGAAGCAGCCTTTATTCTAACAGCAATACTTTTATATGTTGTAGCAGCTAACTTATTTTTTTTGTCAGGAAGGATAAAGACATTTTCTACAGAAAACCTTTACACTTCTTCCTCTGCAATATCTGCCTGAAAATGTGTTTAAGATGCCCTGTCTCTGGGCAAAAGTCTGGCCATGTAACTAGTCACAGGGAACTTGAGGTATAAGACTTTAGTACCATTGTGAAACATCATTAGCACTTTCCGCAGCTTGGTTTCAGTACAGACAGATGTCTTAGCTGTACGGGGAACTTCTCCATAAAGTCACTGTATATCAAAATGAAATTATAGGTGTCAAAATAGCTTTAAAAAATCTGTCCTCAAGCAACTAAGGAGCCTATTCTTTAGGTCTGTAGTTGGTTTTGGTTATTTTAATGACTCTACAGAAAAGAGTCGCACTGAAAAATATCAGCTACTGCCACAGTGAGCACCCATGAGATGCAGCCCTTACGTTGAAGATCTCTGGTCACATAGGATAAACTGGGGGAAGTAGTGTTGGTTAATGGTCTCACAGACCAATGCCAAATCACTGCTCACAGTCAATTTAGCTAGTGAGCCTCTAGACCTGCAACTGGCATAAACTTGATACACCAGAGGGAATCCTGTCATCAGTCATTTAATTATCGGATGTTGCAGATGATGCTGGGTCATGGTGACAGTAGGGCACAAAGGTTCACAAGAAATGTTTTGGCACACAAACATTTTTACAACATTGACTGCTCCTCTTGCCTACTCTGTTGAATGATTCTGGCTGTCATCGGGAATCAGGTCTGGACTTGGGGATGAGTGCAACGAAACAATATGGTGTTGCATCCCTGGTTCAGGGATGAAGCACATGTGTCAGGAGTTGGACCTTAAAATAGCATTAGCATAGGTTGCCTTGTTGGATGCATTTATTTACTTTTGGTCTTAAGGATCAGAGTGGTACTGCTGCTGTTAGGGAAGGAGCTGAGCTTTAACAGGTGCCTGATTTTGAGAGAGCCACCAGCTCATGTGCCTGATGCACCTGTGACTTAAGAGCTTGCGTTTGAAGTTGGAAGAGCATTACACAATGTGAGTGAAGTGCTGTGCTGATTGCCAGGGTGCTGATGCGCACCACTTAAGGCAGAGTTTGAGCCAGCAGCTTTGTATATTTGAAGATCAGCCTAGGTACCAGACAGTAGCAAGAATATTCCATCTTTCATTTTAAATAGGTGTCAAGCAACCAGGCATGTGAAATTCATAAGGTGGGAGAGAGCTGTTAGGGGCTTGATTCCATAGTGTCCTTAGGTCTCTTAGCTGGTGACTTGATCTCTGTGTAAATGCAGAGTTTTGGTCAGGCTTTGAATACAAAGAACACCAGGTCTTGTTTCTTGGAGCTACAGCAAGCTTTCTCTTTGCCATGCATTGTTTCTGGGCTCTTGGATCCTGCTGCAATTGCTGTGTTGTGTTCACCTTCTGAAGGATTATGAAGGTTGTTCGTGTGCCCTGTAATAGGGGTGCACAGAACACACATCATGTGCTCATCCTGTCAGCTCTCCACTGCAGCTTGGAGTACTGAGTCTTTGTTCTGGGGCTGAGATCAGCTTCAGTGGGAGATACCTAGCTAGTCAACTCAGTGAAGATGGAAGCTTCACTGGGAAGTTGACATAACATAACAAAGATATCTTCCTGAAAATTGAGCTTCACCAGTCCTTGAGGTTTGCTTGCAAGATACCAGTCATCAAGGCAGAGTCTGCTGTGGCTGTTTTCAAAACCAGTAGTGCCACCTGGCCTGGTCATTTGGACATGCCCCTAAGCTGGCAGAGTAAACAGTGCATGTCCTTTTTCTTCAAGATTGAAGGAAGGACCTGGAATATGTCTCTATCAATCTGGGCACGTGTGCTCAACAGGAGCCTGTTGGAGAAGGAGAGGCACATGTCAGAGCATGAAACATTAGACATATGTGGAGGCTTCTGTCTGAAACTGTAGCTGGTTTAGGTAGTTAGATGGGAAAACTGGTGTTCTTTCATGAGTTGCTCTCCCGAGCTCAGTTGAAGCCATACCACTGGAATTGTATTTAGGGTTTTAGAACCAGATGTATCTAAATAGTGAAGTGAGGACTGTACACCAATGATCCTGGTAGCACTAAACCAAATAACTAGTGTTTGTAGGGGAAACATATGCTTTGTTTGTTTGGAGGAGCTCCTATTCTCCTGTGTAGTGCTTGCAGTTCTGGGGGTGTGTCTGAGTCAGACAGTCATCTTGAGTGGTGGAGGGGCTCTTCTGGATGCACTTTTCAGGTACTGCTGTGGTCCCCAGCTGTTAACTATTGGCCTCACAGAGGTTGTACCCACAGTAAGTCCAAAACTGTATAGATCTAAAAAGTGCAGCAAGAACATGGCAGGGTGGAGGAGGAAATTTTGCAGCTGTTACAGGATGGGGGTGGAACAGATGAGGCACATGAACATCAATTTTTAATTTTAGCCCACATCTATTTATTAGCTGAGTGGTAAATTGCAGCTCAAAACAGGAGAAAAGGAGAATGATAAGTTTTAAATTGGTCACTTTGCCTACTCCTTTCATCATCAGTGTGGTTTCAGTGGGATCAAGCATCTTCTAAAACAGCATTTAGAAGTGATGTGGGAAATAGATTTTCATTTGGTGAAACTGGCAGATGTGCCTTTTAGAAGTGCACAGGCTTTCCTGCAATGTTTAGGATGCCAGAAGGTTCAAACACCACAACACTTTAATAAAAGATGGTTAGTTTTAATTGTATGCTTCAGATGTCATGCTTCCCTGCAAAAGAGTAACTTAAGCAAA